TATATGCATAGAAGTTCTTTGATTAATCTCTCCCCACCCACTCCCCCACCCCCGCCTTCCCACTGAGACTCATCAGTCTGTTCCATGCTTCCATGTCTCTGGATCTATTTTGTTCCTCAGTCTGTTTTATTAGATTCCACATATGAGTGAGATCATGTAAAACCGAATCAGGAAGAATCAGAAAACCTGAATAGGCCAATGACAACTGATGAAATCAAAGCAGCAATAAAAATTTAAAAACTCCCAGCAAACAAAAGCCCTGGTCGGGACGGCTTCACAGGGAAGCTTTCTAATTCTTTAAGTTGAAGGGTTAGAAAGTTTACTAAAAATTTTTCTTGCCTGTAGTGCTATGAGTTTCCCTCCTAGGACTACTTTTGCTGTGTCTCATAGATTTGGGGTTGTTGTATGTTCATGTTCATTTTCATTTGTTTCCAGGAAGTTTTTTCTTTCTTTCTTGATCTTATTGGTAACCCACTCATTGTTTAATAACATGTTATTGAGCCTCCATGTGTTTGGATGTTTTTGAGTGTTTTTACTGTAGCTGATTTCTAATTTCATGCCCTTCTGATCTGAGATGCATGATATGATTTCAATCTTCTTGAAGTTGTAGAGACTGGTTTTGTGTCCTAATATCTTGTCTATCTTTGAGCATGACCCATGTGCACTTGAGAGGAATGTATATTCCGCAGCTTTGGGGTGAAATGATCTGTAAATATCAATTAAATCCACCTGATGTAGTGTGTCATTTAGAGTCATTGTTTCTGTGTTGAGTTATTGTCTGGAAGATCTATCCAGTGAAGTCAGTGGGGTGTTAATGTCCACAATTATGACTGTATTGCTGTTGCTCTCTCCCTTAAAGTCCTTAAGGTTGTTATTGATATGTCCTTATTTACTGCCATTTTAATTCTTTATGCCTATGTTTCTCTACTTATTATTACAGCAGTCCCTTTGACATTTCCTGCAATGCTGGTTTGGTGGTGATAAACTCCTTTAACCTTTTTTTGTCTGGACAGGTCTTTATTTCACCATCTATTTTGAATGATAGCCTGGCTAGATAATCTTGGTTTCAGATCCTTGTTTTGCATTACCTTGAACACTTCATGCGATTCCCTTCTGGCCTGTAGAGTTTCTGATGAGAAGTCATCTGACAGCCTTATGGGAGCTCCTTTGTAGGTAACAGATTGCTTTTCTCTTGCTCTTTTAATATTCTTTGTCTTGAATTCTTGGCATTTTAATTATTATAATGTGTCTGGGCGTGGGCCCCTTTGGGTTCTTCTTGCTGGGGACTCTCTGTGCCTCCTGAACTTGTGTGACTTTTTCCTTGACCAGTTTAGGGAAGTTTTCTGCCATTATTTCTTCAAACAGGTTTTCTAAACCTTGGTTACTTTCGACTTCCTCTGGCACTCCTATGGTGCGAATATCGTTACGTTTCATGTTGTCTCACAGCTCCCTTAGACTGTCCTCCTGTTTTTTTAACTTTTTTCTTTTTGGATCTCTGGTTGAGTGATTATTTTCTACCTTGTCTTCTAATTCATTGATCTGATCCTCAGCTTCCTCTAATCTGCTGTTTATTCCTTCCAATGTATTCTTTATTTCTGCTATGTCGTTCTTAATTTCCTTCATAGTTTCCATATCTTTTTTCATGCTGTTGAGCCTCCTTACAATCAGTATTCTGAACTCTATATCTGATAGATTGCTTATCTCCATTTCATTTAGCTATTTTTCTGAAGATTTCTTTTGTTCTTTCATTTGGGGCTTGTTTGTCTCCCCATTTCGGCTGCCTATTTGGGTTTGTTTCTATGTATTAGGTAGGCCTGCTAGGACTCTCAGTCTTTATGGATGGTCTCTGGTGCTGGCCAATGTCAGACGTTGTTTGTGACTGGCCTTGAGTACCCTGTTTGGAGCTATCAACAACCCAGGGCTTGAGGTCTCCTCTCCCAAGGCTGGGTGCATTTGGACAGGACCAAGATGCACACCAAAGTCTGCTTTTGGTCCAGAAGCAGATCAGGCAAAGACCCAAAGTACTCTGAGGTCTGCCTCTGCCTGCAGGCTGATTACTCTGATTCTTTTAATGAGCCTCAGGCTGTAGAAATTCCACAGGGTAGGGCAAGAGGTTTCCCAGCAGGGTGGGGCAATTGCTTCCCACTCAGGCAAAAATTGCTTGGAAGATAAATGTCTACCTGTGAAAGATGTCCTCTGCAGTTTGGGAGAAAGACTCAGCACAGGAACCCAGAGGGGTGCCCTCTGAGCTCTACCTCCAGAGCCCACAACCCTAGATTCTCCTCACACAGCTCCAGTACACTCTACCCTCCCTCTGCTGGAGCCCAAGGTGAATGGCTACACTTGAAACTTTGTGCATTGGCTCTTTAAGAGGGTGCCTGCATTTCCAACCATTTCTCCCTGGCAGGCAGAAACCCAGCTGCTTTTCACAGCCAGATGTTTTGTGGGCACCTTTCTCAGTTCTAGTGCTCTGAGCTGGGGAATCCAGCTTGGGGTTTAGGCCCCGGAGTTCTCCATGGGAACCCCAAAGAGTTGAGATATCCCTCCAGACCTTCAGCTGCTGCCTGTGGGAGCCCAGCCACCCCTCTCACACCTCTGCATTTCCTACCAGTCTCTATGTGGTCTCCACTTTTCCTCCTTGGTTATGAGGGTGCTCTCCAGCTCGTCTGCAGTTGCAGTTGATTATTCAGGATGGTTTTTTTCTATTTTAGTTGTAATTCCAGTTTGGTCCCGGGAGTGTCAGTGTAGCTTCCACGCAGTCCGCCACTATCTTTCTCACAACCCCACATTCTATTTAATCAAGCATGTGTTAATGGACACTTAGAGTATTTGTTCCAAACTTTTGCTGCTACAAATCACCTTAACATGAACAGCCTTCCCTTTTATTATGTCATACATATACAGCTATATAGCTTTCAGATAGATTTCCAGAATCGAGATTTTATGATTCTTTAATTTTAATCAGTATTGCTAAACTGTCCTCCATTAGGTTTACACCAATTGCACTCTCTCAAACAAGGTATGAGAGAAAAGGCTTAATTTAAAACTTGTTTCCATCCATCCAAAACTATTTTTCAAAGAAATTATTCAATAAGAAAATGAGAAGACTTTAGGGGCTACACACTATAGTTCATGGATTTAATATTTATAAGATCAAATTCCCGTCAGAAGGTTTGATTTCTTGAGTAAATTTCACAGGAAGGGTGATAGCAGCAGAAGTTGTGATAGGTGATATTTCTATTCATTGTTATTTAAATTGACATAAAATTTGATACAACTGAGAACTATTTGGCAGTTCAAATAAAGAGACAGAAAACATTCATATTCTCTGTTATGAACTGAATTGTGCACTCCCTGACAGTGTTTGCAGATAGGCCCTTTAAAGAGGTAAATAAGGTTAATTGAGGTCATAAGGCTGGCACCCTAATCCCATAGGACTGGTGTCACTATAAGGGGAAGAAACACCAGAAATGCACGCACACAGTGACAGAACTATGTGAAGACATAGCAAGAGGGCAGTGTATGTACACCAAGGAGAAAGGCCTCAGGAGAAACCAGACCTGATGGCACCTTGATGTTGGACTTCCAGCCTCTGGAACTGTGAGAAAATAGTGAACTCACAAAATCAAATTTAAGCCACCCAGTCTGTGGTATTTTGTTATGGCAGTGCTAGAAGACTAATGCACCTTCTAGGGAAGCAATATTTTAGGAATTTAGACTAAAGAACAAAAGCTATATGTTCAACTGTGACTATAGCCTCTTAATTAATCATCATAAGAGATTGGCAACAGCTAACTGTTATATTCTAGCACTTTTGGTCCATTATAGTACATAAATAATGAAATGTTATCTATCCATTAATCATATTAATATGAATACTTTTCAGCCTCAAGGAAAAGTACATATGAAAAATGTTTCATCTTTTAAAAGTTTATGTTTGGGAAGATGAAAAAGTTTTAGAGATGGATGGTGCTGATAGTTGCACAACATTGTGAATGTACTTAATGCCAAAGAACTGTATACTTTAAAATGTTGAAATAGTATATTTCACGTTATGTATATTTTACCACAATAAAAAGGTAGAACACAAGTTACAACATACATTACAACATATATAACACTAACACATATGTTAGTGTTAATAAGTGTCAAGGTTGGAAAAAGACAAAACTAAAAACAATGTGTTTGGTAGAATCATCTGTAGAAAATGTTTCTATTTTGTTTCACATCATTTAAACAACATTTCAGTTGATAATTTAGCAAACTGTCAATTACATATGTGTTTGTGTGTTCATGTGCACACATAAAAACCGATCTGGAATGATATACAAACCTTTAACAATGGATATCTCTAGGGAAGAGGGAAAAAGCATAGAAATTTGTCCATATGTTTCATTCTTTTTATTTGTATGTATGATGGTTTCAATTTAATAAAAGTATTCTAATACCTGAAAAACAGAAATAACTCAAAAATTTCTTTAAAACCAAACCTTAAAGGAATACAAACAGAAACAAATAATCCTATCTATATAACTAAGTATTAACATAACCACAAAAAAAAATTTAATTCAAGAACATTTTTAACACAACATTTTGACTGGATACTTTTTTCAGATAGTTTTTATTTCTTCGAATTTGTTGTTTATCAGGAGTGACTGAAATAAAAAATATAACTGAGTCCCACCATCATCAAGGAAATGACTTTGAGAAAACTGGTCAGATGAATATTACGGCTTCCCACTTTCAACCAGTAAATAGTTGCCACTGATAAATAGCCAGCCAGCTGTCTATAAAGAATGCCCAAGATATGTTACATAGTACAACATGCGGGTTCACAGGGGGTGGGGGGTAATAAATAATTTATGTGAACTTCCTGATTTCATCACACAAGACAAGAGCAAAGCGCCAGCCATCGTCTGAGGACATGGATCATGCACCCCTGAGAAAAGCTTTGCCGCCTTCGGCACAAGCGCTCTTCCTCCAGCAGCCGAGCACCCTGTGTACATATCAGTTCCTTTGCGCCCTGGCTGTATTGCCATGCTGCACACACAGTGTCAGATGGATAGGAAGTCACCCACACGGTACCAGCTGCGGAGACATGGGCGTTCTGGAGATCTGGGAGCATTCCCTTTGCAGCGGCATAGATGCCGAAGCAGGCAGCTCGGTGGATGACAATGCCCTGCACAGACACACTGAAGCCTCTGTACTGGCCCTCGATCCTGTCGGATTTGGAGATCTTAACCAGGCTGTAACCTAGGCCTTTGAATTCCCTCTCAGCTCCAGCTTTGCCCACATCAGCTGCTAGACGGCATGGGCAAAATCAAGAGGACACACAGAACGTAAGGGGGTGGCCCCAGCTGCACCACCTGATGCCAATTTCCCTGCAAAGTAGCCTGCATTTATCTTTGAAGGCAAAGTTGTGAGCCTGGGTGGGGAAGGGTCTGGTTACCAGCCAGGGGGACGGAGCTCCCTGCTCCTTGGGGATGTGACCCATGCAGTCTATAATGCCCTGGCATTGCTTATCTGCGGGAATTTGCTTGTTGACGTGCTGCACTTGCAGCAGCAGCTCCACCCGCTCCATGGGTGCCGCCGCAGTCTTGGAGATGGCCAGAGCCTCTCCACCTGCCAGAAGTCTGTGGCGAAGGGCACAGCAGCATCTGTCACGTTGATAGGAAAGAAGAGGCAGGCAACTGTGGGGCTGGGCTTGTAACCAGCTGGGGCTCGGGCTCTAGCTGACTGCATACTCTTAATGAAAGTTAGTACAAGGACCAAAGTATTGTAGAAAAATTTAAATTTTTACACAGTAGTTCTGTTGTTGGAGACATTGACATCGTTTATTCTGAAACTTTTTTATGTGTATTGCAAGATAGGGTAAATGAATAAATAAGATGCAGGGTTCTCACTCTGGGAGAAGGAGATACAAAGATGAAACAAGAAAAAGAAAAAACCCTGTGGTGCTGAGTTAGAATGGGGAGGGGAGGGGAGAAGAAATCTAACCATGTTTCCCATCTCTGTCCACTGAAAGGGCCTAGAAGTCACGATACTCTAGTAGCAAGACTGGGCCACGCATCCAGATCTGAGCTGGGACAGGGGAAGGATATGAACCTGGAATACGTTATTGTGCAAAAAGTGAGGAAGTGCTCAAAGAAAAGGACCACGAGCCAGGCTAAAGGCACCCCACCCCCACTGGCCAGATGAAAAACAACTTGAGCATCAAAAAGAAAAATGGAAATACTACATCAGATTTTAAAGAGAGTCCTGGGGTTAAAAGCGGGTACTACTAAATGCAATGTCCTTTACAAATGAGTGCCAAGTAATAAATGTATGAGAACTAATAACTAGAAAACCAGCATTTTACATCCACCAGCAAAATAAATCATTCAGCAGGAATCATCAATTGATGCAAAATCACAGGATGAAATTCTATTGCAGAACAGGACATTCGTGTGGTCTCAGAGTATCACCGTACAGAGGTTACTACAGGGAAAAGTGCTTCTGTCACAATGGAAAGAGATGCAGTCTCCACCCTAAGTGATTGCATGCTTCCTGCCAAACGCATTCGACCTGAATCCTGTCATGAGAAAACAACGGGGCAAATCTAGAATAAAGGACTAGAATCTAAGACAAATGACTGGCCCTAGGAGGTGGGCTCAGTGGTTAGAGCGTCGGCCGGCGGACTGAAGGGACCCAGGTTGGATTCCAGCCGAGGGCACGTTACCTCGGTTGCAGGCTCGATCCCCAGCCCAGATCGGGGTTCATGTGGGAGGCAATCAATCGATGTCTCTCTCACATCGATGCTCCTCCCTCTCTCTTTCTCTCTCTCTCTCCCCCTTCCACACTCTCTGAAAAGCAATGGGAAAAATATCATCGGGTGAGGATTGGAAAAAAAAACAAATGACCGGACTACTCTTCTAAAATGGCATCCCTAAAAGCCCCTCAAAAAAACAAAAACAAAATGAGGAACGAAACGAGGGAAGCTGCAGGGTGGTGCTGCATGAGGTCAGGAGAGGCTACAGAGACAGGACAACCCCACTGGATCCTAGGACAGGACAGCTTCCAGGGCATTTGGGGGAATCTGAATGTGGACTGTGGTCTAAACAACAGTAATTTATCAGGATTAACCACCAAGGGTGTCTCACACACACACACCCCTTTCCCAGGAGCTTTGGGACACACACAATTAGCATACCTTGGCTGGGTTAATTACGATATTTCTGGCTGAGCCGTGTTCGTCTCCAGTAAAGGCCGGCTGATTGCTGAAGCCTTGCTTTACATTCACAGCGGTAAGCTCATCCTGTTCAAGAAAAGGTATTGATCAATGAGAAGGAAGCAAAAGCTCAAACGTAACCCCTCACACCACAGCCTAACGACTAACTTCGCTATACTCTGTAGAAGAGAGCAGCTGAACGCACACTAAAAAAAAAGCAAAAACCGAAATTTAAACACCACGTATAAATGTGTTGAGAGATAAAGCCAATGTGGCAAAATGCTGACAACCGTCGACTTCCGCTGTAGGATACAGGGGTGTTCGTTACACTGTCCTTTCTACTTTTCTGTAACTTCGAAAATTTTAAACTAACAAGTTGGGGGACGGTGGACAAAAATCTCCCCTGCACACACACACACATAAAATCACAGAATTTTTAAACTAGAATTGCTTCTAGAGGGCCCAGTTTGACCCTTCCTTCCTTGCCAGCCCCTATGTGCACCCCTATTTTATATTCAAGAAAACTGGCGCCCTCAATGTACCCAAGACCCCATAGCAAGTTAGACAGAATGAAAGGTTCCCAGGCACAAGCTCTGTGATAACCACACGGCACAACGACCTGCGACTAAAGGGACGTCTGGAGCTTGCACAGTCCGGCCATATCCCTGCGCTCACTTGATCTGCGGCAGACGGGTGGCGGGTGTGCGTCTTCATGCCCATTACCGGTGAGAAGAGAGGCTCACTGAGCTAGTGCAGTAAGCGGACAGTGCCCACCCTGGAATACGGCCGTCCAATCCTGGACTAGGGAGAGAACTGTCCCCGACCCCATGCCCCGAAGTATAAATGCCACATGAAAATGTGGTCTAAAAATACAGAGCTACCACTCAAAGTCTCCTTAAAAAGACCTCTGCCTGGACAGATACAGGAACTTCTCTTCCCAAGGTCATACACATCAAAAATAGCCCAGGCTGCAAAAACAAAAACCTTGCCCTGCCCTGATCCCCACGTTACAAGCCAGGTCAGAGTTGCTAAGACACAGATGTGAAAACATAAAAGGGAAAGGCTTGAGTAAATGAAGCTACTTTCTGCTCCCCTCGCTCCAAGCCGAGAAATGGTCTCATAGCCGTTGGGATAGTGGTGTCCACAGGACAAGAATGAGAATACACACTTATTCCTCATAAGGACTTGCTGGAAGTGTGAAATGAGAAAAAAAAAAAATCAACTGACCAAAATCACCACTGTGATTAGGCAGGAAGCCTTAGAACAGAATAGTCCATGACGTGTAAGGGCCCCCTGGGCTGAGAGCCATGTAACTTAACTGTGAGAGCTCTGCCTAATACCTGGGTGAGCTTTCAAAACACCCGCTACAGAAAGTTAGCTCTATGGCAATCAAGTCTCCTCCAAGCACAGAGGATGACTGACGCGACGATCTGCACAGAAAATGAACTGCACACATATCAGAAGGCATCTCAAACTGGCTGCCACACTTTCAAATTAATTATTTGAAAATCTAGGGCAACACCACATGACGAAATTTCTGTACTCACAGAGCCTAAGGATGAAGGGGCACAAATGAGACCAGGACAGGAATGGGAAAACTGAATCTCTCTCTTTCTTTACCATCAGAGTATTACAAGAAACATTAATTGAGTAACAGCACATGTTTTTACTAAAAATATGTTCTGGCTTAATCAAGAGGAAATGTGTGAGGCTTTTAGGGCCAGTTAGTTTCACTTAGTGCTGCTTAACTTTCTATTCTAAACACACACCAGCTCAGTTAGCTGCTTGTCGTATGTGACTGCTGAGCACTGGCCTCGAAGGCATGCCCTGCATGCGTGCACACACATGCACACATGCAAACACACATCCCCAGAAGGAAAAGAGCATGGAGCCATGGTTATACACCTGTCAACCACATCAGGCTTTGCTCAAATGAGGATTCGCCCAGGTGCTATCAGGAGCCTTGAATTCTGAGACTTTTTAATCTGGTATCCTAAGTAGAACAAAAATACATCCAGGATCTGACCATGACTCATTACCACCAGAGGTCAAGACCACCAGCATCTTGTGCTTGGACGTTGCAGTAGCTCCGAACTTGGCTCCAACCTGGCCTCTGCCTTGCTTCCACCCTTGCACCCTGAAGGCCGTTTTCAACACAGCAGCCACAGGATTCTTAAAACACTCCTGCTCAAAACCTGGCTTAACTCCCCAACTCAGAGTATAAGCAAAGGTCCTATGATAGCCTACCAGTCCCTGTGTGGTCTGGCCCCTATCACCTGACATCATTCCTAACCACACTCCCCTGCGCCCACTCTACAGCAGCCACACGGTCTTGGCTCTCGCTGCAGCTCCTCCAGCATGCAGGCTGGATGTTCTCAAGCCTCAGGGCCACTGCACTGTCTGTTCCCTCTGCCTGGACTGCTCTTTCTCATGGTATCCACGTGGGCAATTCCACAACCACCTAAGTCTTTGCTCAAATTTCACATTCTCAATGAGAAATTTGGATGACCCCATTTAAAACAGGAACCCCTCATCCTACTCCCTTCACCCTACTCCTAATCTTCCAAGAATACACAGCACTCATCACCTAACACACCATGGAATTTTCTTACCACGTGTACTGTCTGTTTTCCCTACCGGAAGGTAAGGTCCATGAGACCAAGGATCTTTATTTTGTCCACAGATGCATGTCAAGCACATAGAGCTGTGCCTGGCACACAGCACGAAGCACACAGAGGCATTCAATAAGTAGCTGTTAAAAGAATAAATAAGCGCCTGGCTGGGCGTGGCTCAGCGGTTGAGCATCGACCTAGGATCCAGGCGATCAGGGTTCGATTCCCAGTCAGGGCACATGCCCGGGTTGCGGGCTAGGCTGCCGATCAATGAGTCTCTCATCATTGATGTTTCTCTCTCTCTCTCCTCCTCTCCCTTCCTCTCTCTGAAATCAATAAAGATATATTTTTTTAAAAAAAGAATAAATAAGCAAATGATAACCTGTTTGAACACTTAACATAATTAGCATATCCTGAATCACTACCCCATGACTCTGGGGTCTGTAATGCCATCTGTATTGGTAAATTAATTCAACAAGGAGGTTGTGCTAATGCTGTGGCACCTACATAAGCAAACCAATCTAAGCCTCTAAATGCCTCAAGGCTAGGACAGCAAAACCTAAGCACAGCCTATCACAAAGAGCCAACAAGGGTTTAAACCACAGACAATCCATCATTTCCTTGCTTGGCTTCTGTCTTTTCTCTATAAAGGTTTTTCCCCAGCTGCCAACGATGGAGCACTTCTAACCATTTCCAGTTTGTGCTGCCCAATTTGAATCGAGTTTTGCTCAAATAAATTCCTAAAATTTTAATATGCTTCAGTTTATCTTTCAACTGTTCTGATGTCAGATATGGGACCCAAAGGAGACCCCCAACAACCCCCAGGAGCAAGGAGCAGCCAAATAAGGCTGCCCGCTGAGCCCACTAAGCCTTCTCCCTGCGTCTGGAGTGAGCAGGTATCAGAATGTTTGCATTTAAGAGAGCTCTCCGAATTTATCTGAAGATAAAGAAAGCATTTCTTTCTTCAGACTGGGTCTGAGTCAGCCAACTTAACAGAAACTGGACTGGGTCCAACTTAGAACCCAGCCTGGTTCTGAGGTTGGACTGGGTCCAACTTAACTGAGGCGGGACTGGGTCCAGTGGGTGACCTCGAGTCACAGGGGGGGAAAGACAAAAACGGATTCCTCTTACTCCGAACAACCTGGGGCTCCTCCATGTGGGGCCCAGTAACGATATGTATAAAAACTACAGGCAGAGACACTGTTTTTCTGAACCAGTGGGTTAACCTTACCAAAGATAACCTTGAATTATCTGGGCCAAGTGGGGAACTTTTAACCTAGATAGACTCATCCATTTATGAGATGCTCTAGGGAAAAAAAGGGGTCAAATTTCCCCCAAAACAACAGGACGAATTTTTATTGCTATGCAGAAGCTCCTAAGAAACTAAATGAATCAAAAAACGCCTCTTTAAAAGAGTCTTTACAAAAGGCAAATAGAAGCTTAAACAACGAGCTGATGGAGACTCTAAAAGGAAGTGTACAGTGACTAAACTTGAACCTGGTTGCTCGGGCTGCCTTCCTTCTATCTCCTTTCTCAAAATATTCTGACCCTTCTCAGACCTTCACTCAGCTGTCTTTTCACTCTGAAGATGAGCTAGAGGTTTAAAGAAATGCCCTTTAAAGGGAGGCCCTCTGCTGAGCTGGAACACCAGATGTAACCATGCTTACTCCACGGTCAAAGGCTGAACCTAGGGCCATCGAAGATTTCCCAAATCCTAAAGAGAATCCTCAAAAATTCCATGAGGAATTTAGAATTTTAGTAGGAACTTACAGTCCAGGACTCCCGGGTCTCTACCAATGATGGCTGGCTGAAGCCCATGGGAAGCTCCCAGGAGTGCTACGATAGACCCACAGCCTCACCGCTCTGCCAGGGAAGGCCCAAAACACACCAGAAAATTCGCCCCGGGCACACTTGAAAGTACTCATAAGCTATTTCCTCAAAAGACTGACTGGTCCATTTCAATACGGCAAACAACAAAATAGGAAGGCAAGATTGGCAACCCTTTTTGTGAAGCATTCTGGGCTTTCTTCATTAAACGCCCTGACTTCCTTCTTCAACCCTGGGCTCCGGCTGAACTGGGGAAGACGCCTCTCCTGCTGAATTAACAGCTCTCGCTGAGCATTTTGAAAAAACCCAGGAGCAAGATGAAATTCAAAAAGCCGACAAACGTATTGCCCTGCAGTTACAACATTTCAGGCCAGAACCTAGACGTCCGCCACTCAGAAATGCTGGGCCCGAAATGCCATCCTTAATTGTAAACTGGTAACCAGGGCACCAGGAAAGAGAGTGCCCCCTGCTGAGCCCCTCATCTCACAGACCTCCACCTATTAACCCAGATTGTTTTCCATAGGGGGAAGGCTTTAAACATCTGATTACCAAAATTAATAATAAGCATTGATGGGGCTCGGAGGAACCCTCCAGTAAACCTCCTTACCCGTGATACCTTCTAACCTCCATCATAAGCACGGCCATCTG